TTACAGCTTACTATATCTTGTGGGTTTTGCTTATTGTTGAAGGCAGTAAGATGATCAGTAGTTATAACTTACTGGATACCATTTGGTGTCTGGTGACTTCTTGTCTTAGACAAAATATCCTTATACTTAAAAAGTTCCATTTCCCTCAGGTAAATTTGATCTTAAATGATTTTGGCTACTCTTTTAATATCCATTTAGGTCATATAACTCAACAAGTATTTATACATGTATAATGGGTTGTTGTTGTTGTTGTTGGTATTTTTATGAAGGCAAATCTATAAAACTGCTTTGGAACCTTTAAATTTTTATATAAATAATAAATAAGTGTTATTTTTTTCAATATAAAACACAAACAATTAAAAGTTATATGGCACTATCTTTTAATCATGTAATCATTGATTAATATATTATGAACATTTGTATGTAATTTGAAAATAAATAATGCAACACCTTTGATTGTTCTGGTGCAAAACAACAACCATTCACAGTATGAAAATCATCATGAAATAACAATTATTGCATCAACCATCATAAAAAAAATGTAATATACAATTACTCAGTTGTCTATTTAAGGAGTTTGCTACTCTGATTCAAAATAACAAAATAACAAAAATAAATAAAATGCTCCGCTGGGCGCAGCTTGATACGACCGCAGAGGTCGAACCCTGAACAGTTGGGGCAAGTATGGACACAACATTCAAGTTTGATACAGCTCTGAATTTGGATTGTGATTAAATATTTGACACAGCATAGGTTTCTGACACAGAATGAATGTGGTCTAAGAACTTAAATTTTTTTAATTTACCTATTATGGTCCAATATCAAAAATCTAAATACATGGTTAGATTCAGCATATCAAAGAATCCAAAGAATTCAATTTTTGATGAAATCAAACAAAGTTTAATTTTGGACCCTTTTGACCTCAATGTGGACCAATTTGATAACAGGGCCCAACAATCAAAATACATGGTTAGATTCAGCATATCAAAGAACCCAATATATTCAATTTTTGTTGAAATCAAACAATGTTTAATTTTGGACCCCAACTTGGACCAACTTGAAAACTGGGGCCATAATCAAAAATCTAAACACATGTTTAGATTCAGCATATCAAAGAACCCCAAGAATTCAATTTTTGATAAAATCAAACTAAGTTTAATTTTGGACCCTTGGGACCTTAATGTAGACCAATTTAAAAACAGGACCCAAAATTAAAAATCTAAATACACGGTTAGATTTGGCATATCAAAGAACCCCAATAATTCAATTTTTGATGAAATAAAACAAAGTTTAATTTTGGACCCTTTTTACCTCAATATGAACCAATTTGAAAGCGGGACCCACAAATAAAAAATCTAAATACATGGTTAGATTCAGCATATCAAATAACCCCATATATTCAATTTTTGTTGAAATCAAACAAAGTTTAATTTAGGACCCCAATTTGGACCAACTTGAAAACTGGGCCCGAAATAAAAAATCTAAATACATGTTTAGATTCAGCATATCAAAGAACCCCATATATTCAATTTTTGTTAAAATCATTCTAAGTTTAATTTAAGACCCTTTGGACCTTAATGTAGACCAATTTGAAAACTGGACCCAAAATTAAAAATCTAAATACACAGTTAGATTCAGCATAACAAATAAATAAATGTGGTCAAAGATTTTACAAATCTAATGCGCCATACTGTGCAATTAAAGATTACTTCTTGAAATTTTACAATATTTGAAATTTGAAAAAAAAAATAATATTTGAAGAATAATTCTTTTTAATTTCTGAAATCTGAAATGAGAAAAAATTGACCCCCCACAATTTCTTTTTACCCCCCCCCCCCCCTCCCCTTTTTCCCCAAAAAAATTCTTTCCCTCAAGATATGTTCATAATCTCAATTCAAATTTCCAATGGAATTTGCAACCATAATTACCCATTTAAATTTATCATAGTGCTAACTTAATTTATTTTATAATAGGATTTAAAATATGGTGTCAAATCTTTCATATGGATTTTTTTGTAAAAAAAAAAAGATGCAACATTTGCAGATATTTTTACTGGTCTTCCTTTATAAATATGCATTTCTTTAAACATAATTTATAAGCAGTGTAAGGGAAGTAATCAAAACGTTGTATGTGGATTACCTCCCTTACACTTTTAAAATTGTCTTAATTGTTCATTAACCATTACTTTATACATAATTTAAAAGCAGTGTAAGGGAGGTAATTCAAATGATGTATTTGATTTATCTCCCTTACACCGCTTTAAATTATGTTTTGTACTAAAGTATTTGTCCATATAAAAATGCTTGTTTTTTGCCCCTTTTTTGGCCCCTAATTCCTAAAATTTTGAGGAAATTACCCCCAAAATCAATCCCAGCATTCCCTTTGTGATATGGAACCTTGTGGTACAATGTCAGAGAGATCCATACACTAACACACAAGTTATGTCTGGAAGTTACAAAAATGCTTATTTTTGGCCCCTTTTTGGCCCCTAATTCCTTAACTGTTGGTACCATAACCCCCAAAATCAATCCCAACCTTCCTTTAGTGGTATTGAACCTTATGGTAAAATGTCATAGAGATCCATTCACTTAAACTAAAGTTAGAGTGCGAAAACCAATGTGTCTTCGGACAACGACGATGCCAACGTCATACCAATATACGATCGCAAAATTTTTTTGCGGTCGTATAAAAAGCAAAAAAATTCAGGGTTCATGTCCTTGTTTTCAAGATATAAGGCAGGAAATGATTTTCTCTAGATTTTTTGATACATTTAATGTTGGCACCTTTTTTCTTTCAAAAGCTATAAAACAAAACAAGGATTTTAAAAGATTTTCAAATATGGCTTTTTAACTTATATGTAATTTGTGAACAGAAAAGTGGGGGTTAGCGGGCAAAACATTTAATGGAACTACATGGATAAAACCAGAGGATTCTGAATACTGTGGATTCATTTTAATATTTTTCGTGGAATAAGGAAATATTATATGTTCGTGGAAATTTGATTTCATGGTTTTGCCAAAATCTGCATCCAAGCCTAGATGGTAAATTTGTAATTCATTGAACATTTGAATACATGGTTCAACCTTACCCACGAAATACACAAAAATTGGTATCCCACGATTATAATGAATACACAGTATCTGATCACAAAAAGTTAAAGACAAGGAGAGGGAACATCATTAACACATTTGATGACAATCTAGTTTTGATTCAAAATTAAAGGTGACTGAATTTTGATGAAGTTACCCTAATATAATCTATTTCATGCATTCAATGGCCATTAAATCTTTGATTCAAATTTAAAAGTGACTGATTCTTATGAAAGTTTATACATTTTATACTGTGTTGCAGTTGAAATGATGAAATGTTTATTGTCGATTGACATACATGTTTTAAATGATCTATCGTTTAAATAAATATAAACAATTTATGATGAAATAAAAATGGATTGAAATCATAAATAAAAATCAAACATCTAATCAACAAATAAAGCAATATTTATCAATAACTACTAGTTAGATCACTAGCTACAAACACTGAACACAATGAACATATACATTTCAAATATATAATTTAAATTTCATATATTAACAAACAACTTTTTTTCATAGTGTCCAATTTTGACATATTTATTTGCTACAGGTTAAGTCAAAAGGTTTTTACACATAGGTTCATGCTTTAACAATAAAATGTGTGGGAGTCTTCCAAAAAATGATCTCTATTGCCTGCAGTCTCAAAATAATTTTTTGAAAGACCCCAAAAATCATTACGGGCTATTCAAGAATTAAATGCATGGGGTATGGTAGGCACTTTTTTTAATAGCATGAAGATCAAAAATTAAAATAGCACGGGCAAAACTACATGAAGTTAAATTTTTGTGCCACTTCGGTGGAATTTAGTAATACCAAAGTTTGATGCAAAAAAGATGACACAAGTTAGCAGAGATGATTTTTGTGTGTCATCTTTAATGCTTAAAAGTTGACACACATGACAACAGAGGTGAAAATTTTGTGTAATCTTAAATGCATTTAAGATGACACAAAACAAATGGAGTGATTACTTGTGTCATCTTTAATGCATAAAAGATGACAAATGACAAGGCAACAGAGGTGAATTCTTTGTGTCACCTTAAATCCATAAGATGACACAAGACAACAGAAGTGATTTTTTTGTGTCAATACAGATTCTGTCAGGTGACACAATCATATGTGTTGTTTTTCTAGGGTACTACTTTTCACTCTAAATAGGTACCAGAAAAACATTGGCCAATTGCAAGTATTAGCACTTTAACAATACAGAAAATCAGAAAAAATATCTTACTTTCTTTCTGTCAGATACAATAATACTGATAAAAATATTTAAAAATATCATACTTGTACATTCAATTAATTTTATAAATATTTAATTTAAAACTTGATGTTAAGCCAATGACATTCAAATCTTTTATAATAAATAATTGAAATAAACTATAGAAAAGAAATTTAATCTGCATTCTTTATATAAATAAAATAAAATAATGAGCAAATATTTCAAATCAATATACTGTGGATTAATTTATTTTCATGGATTCTAATTATCTTGGATTGAGGAAAAATTTATACTTTGCTGAACATTAAAATTTGTGGTTCATCTGTATCCAAGAAATGCATGCAAATTGGTATCCAATAAATAATGATAATAAAACCAAAGTATTAAATAATATTTTAATATTAAATATACTTGATAGGGTTTAAAAAAAAAATTTTGTAATTATAAATTAAACATTTCATTGGTAGCATCATCTGCAATACAGATATCAACTTCTCTTAAAAAAATGTAAATAACTGGTAAATTATTCAAACATCTTTAAAAGATTTTTCATGTTGTTTTTTTACCTTTTCATATCTATTTTTTTCAAAACTGATATCTAAATTGGCTTAAAGCCTATCTATACAATACGTAACAATACAATCAAGTTTACTTATCACAAATATAATGCTTAAATTACAACTAAGGAGATTTTTTTATTTTTCAACCTATCAAAACTCATTAATGCCTACTTATGGTGCAATGTAAAATGACACTTTTGCTGTAGTAAAATAATTGAAAAAAAAATTGAAATAAATATAGCTTTTTTATGGTTTATTTTTTAATGAACAGTTAATACAATCATCACATACATGTGACATATCAGTGCAGAAAGATCACTTATGATGTCATAAACAAAATTGAATATATTTGCCAAAAAAAACTCAATTTATGCACCTTTATTTAATAAAAAAAATATACTATGCAAGGCCTTCCCCAATAAGATATTTTACACACAATGTAAATTACATCTTGTAGCAAAATATCTTTATGGTAAGGCCTTGGTTAATATCTAAATATTTATGACAAGATCTGAAAATGGGTTTTTTCTAAAATTGTTTTGGAGTGTAAAGACTTAAGAAAAATATTTTTAGGGAAAAAACAAAAAATATGAATACTTATATATGATAAACTATTATGAACATCTAAAATGTTTTAGTGTCAGACATTATTCTGTATATTTCTAATACTTTTCTGTGTTGAAGGGGCCAAAATAGGTAGCATTATCATAGCTTTGTTTTACAAAAAAAAAAATATTCTTAGTATAAAAATAACTTGTCTGTACATATCACATGAAAATAACTTAATTTGGAAAAACATATTATTGGGAATTCTGTTGTAAGTTGGATACAATGTCTTCTGATGCTGGCATCACTTCTCTTTCTCTTCTTTCTTCCTGATTATTTGGATCAAGAGCTGAAAGAAAAAGAAAATTCTTTACTATTTTGTATATCAAGTAATAGAATTAATTATATTTGAATTTTTTTAAAACATGAAATGCATAATAAACAAAGGCATATAAGTTACCATATTTACAGTGCAAAGAATACAATGTGAGATAATCATAATTAATATAATTTCAACACTTCCTATAACTAGATGTGTCGGAACAACACGAATGACCCCCGTCTCAAAAAGTTGAAAAATCTGCAATTTCAACAACACATGTGGACACAAACATGCATGGATAGGATCCAGCTCTCAAGACCAATACTAGTTTGATGAAAAATTTCCTTGATCAATGAGTAGTTAAATTTCAAGCTGTTAGCAAATAGGAAGTGGATGTACTCTTGATGTGTTGAAACGACATGAAACGGAACGCAGCATAAACTTGATCTCTTACTCATCATGGTAGACTCATTGTCATTTTGCTTAGTTTCTTTTGTTACTTATTCTGACATCGGACTCGAGGACTCTGACTTTTTAAACTCATTTTTACTGTGCGTATTGCTGTGTGTTTGTTTATTCTACATTGGCTAAAGGTATAGGGTTGAGATCTCACAAAACATGTTTAACCCCGCCGCATTTTTGCGCCTGTCCCAAGTCAGGAGCCTCTGGCCTTTGTAAGTCTTGTATGTTTTTTTAATTTTAGTTCATTTATATGTCTTGGAGTTTAGTATGACGTCCATTTTCACATTTTTGTTTAGGGGCCAGCTGAAGCCCGCCTCCGGGTGCGGGATTTTCTCGCTGTTTGGAGGACCCATTAGTGGCCTTTGGCAGTTTTCTGCTCTTTGGTCGGGTTGTTGTCTCTTTGACACATTCCCCATTTCCATTCTCAATTTTATCACATTTCAAAAATCAGCCCAATATCTGAAGGGGTTTAGAAAAAAAATCCTGATAACTGTGATTTTCAACAATTTATCAAAGTCTCAAGTCCCTAATTTCGGCAAAAATTAGTAGAGTGGAATGAAACTTTAAATTGATCTGTAACTCATCATGGTTAACTCACATACCAAAAATCAGCCCAATATCTAAAGGCGTTTGGAAAAAAAGTCTGTATAACTGTGATTTTCAACAATTTATCAAAGTCCAAAGCCCGTAATTTCAGCAAAAATTAGCAGAGCAGAACGAAACTTAAACTTGGTCTGTAACTCATCATGGTTAACTCACATACCAAAATTCAAATCAATATCTGAAGGCATTTAGAAAAAAAGACCATTTAACTGTGATTTTCAAAATTTATCAAAGTCCAAAGCCCATAATTTCAGCAAAAATTAGTAGAGCCGAACGGAACTTTAAATTGATCTGTAACTCATCATGGTTAACTCACATACCAAAAATCAGCCCAATATCTGAAGGCGTTTAGAAAAAAAGTCTGTATAACTGTAATTTTCAACAATTTATCAAAGTCCAAAGCCCATAATTTCGAAAAAATTAGCAGAGCGGAACGAAACTTAAACCTGATCTGTAACTCATCATGGTTAACTCACATACCAAAAATCAGCCCAATATCTAAGGCGTTTAGAAAAAAAATCTGTATAACTTTGTTTGCTGCGGAATGACTGAATGACGGACAAGGGTAAAACTATATGGCCCAAACAACTTTGTTGCCATGGTCATAAAAAATAATAAGAAATTAAATATCCATCCATGTAACTACATGTCTCATCAATTCTAAAATGACATGCTTCTCTTGCTTTGTAAACAACAACTTGATAAAATTCTCTATATATGTATACTTATCGCATTAAAAATGTACAAAATTAAAATAAAATTATATTCTGCTAAAATCCATGGATGCTCTAGGTGCATTAACATGATTAACGTCATTTCAAAACATGATGTCATACCAAAGAAAAGTCTCAAACTGAAGGTTATTCCTTCAAATGTAAGCTCCAAATTCAGATAATATTGCAATATGGAGTTTAAAGGTAGATCTTGTTATATTTTCTAGTCTATGACATTATTCACACATTTATTGATTTTAGCAAGTCAACATGGCAGCTCAGTCAAAATTTACAACTGTGGAGAAATCATTTGACGGTAAATAGTAGCAAATGAAAACTAAAGGCTCTCAAGAGCCTGTGTCACTCACCTGTATATACTGTTGTTTTGGAAATCATGTAAAATAAGGTTTAAATCATGATAAATAGTATTAGATACTCTAATAATGATTGTGCATGAGGCCAAGTTTGGTTTAATTTGGCCCAGTAGTTAAATTAAAAGCAGGTCATCTCACTAGTAACTAGACTTACAATAGTTACTGAAGACCTCTTATCATTATTTAATTTTTTTTTTCAAGTTGTGAACATTTGAAATTGTTTTTTTTACAATTTTCCCTTATATTCTAAAGTAAATCCCTATGTTCTATTTTTAGCCATGGCGGCCATGTTGTTTGGATGGCAGGGTCATTTTTCAATCAAGATACCCTATTGAATATTGAGGCTAAGGTTCTATTTGGCCCAGTAGATTAAGCCGAGAAGATTTTTGTTAAAGATTACAAAAATTTACCAAAAAAAATGTTCAAAATTTGACTATAAGGCCAACTAAAATTAATTAGTAGATTTTCATCCAGATTTTTGAAAAAAATGGGGCGGGTGGGAGGATTTTATTTTTTAAATTTTATTTCATGTGAAACCCTCTTGTGAAGTGTTCTTCATATATGCAAGTGTATTAAGCTTATATCATGTATATTGATACATGTATAAGGAATCATACATAATTTTTCAAATTCTTAAATAAATATCTCTGGTTGGCAACCACTGATCTACCTGTAATTGCCGCCTTAGAAACCCATTTATAAATGTGGAAAAATGCTCTTTTCAGTTGGACTACCTACACTGAATTTATTTTGCATTCCAAGCGATGGTTTGTAGTCCCCATAAAATGAAGCAAATGTCAGTTTGTCATGCAAAACAAATATCATGAGTACAGAATAAAATGAAAACTCAAATAGTGTTGAAAATAATAGGGTTGGTGCCAATGCAAGATGCAAATATAATTACAATGGAAAACTTGAAAAAGTTGTTGAATGACTCTATTAATGGTATTGGGACAGAGGGTGTTAATGTGCTTTTTTTCAACAAAAAACGAAAACCATTGGTAAATGTAAGGGATTGCTGTAATAAAATACGTATGTTTGTAGACTTTTTGAACTCAATATACGGTCATAAATCTAACAAGTTCGTGCTTGTGTCAATTTCTTTAATCCAATTATGTTTTATTGTAACAATGTGTTCCACGATTCTTGCACTTTGGATATCGTTCACAGTCCAAATTTCCTTACACTAAGTCATTGTATAAATAAAAATATCCACGGTTTTTTAATCTCAGAACATTTGTGACATACCGATTTGCGTTCTTGGACACAGTGTATTACGTACTCGTAACCCGAATATTTCATGCCCTTCTCGTAAGTAAGTAAGTAATACAAAAACCGAAATTTGAAACAGGAAGTTTTGAATGAAACGAAATTATCGAGGGTTACCGGTAACGGAAATGAACAAAATCCGGAAATCGTAAGTTTTTCAAAATAAAAAAAATTGGGGCGGGACGATTTCAGAGGGGCGGGCAGGGATGAAAATCTATCAATTAATTTTAATTGGCCTAAAGGGCAATAACTCCTTAAGGGGTCAATTGAAAATTTTGGTCATAGTGACTTATTTGTAGATCGTACTATGCTAAACATTATTGCTGTTTACAGTTTATCTCTATCTATAATAATATTTAAGATAACAAGCATTCTGAGAGTATTGCATGGCAATACATAGTCCCCTACCGGGTAAAAATTCATTATACTGGAACAAAATGCTAACTTGTTCTATAACTTGTCATGGTGTAAACAAAAAGTAAATATCTTCAAGCTTGACGAAAAACAGTGTGGAAAACTGATTATATAAGTGTATTTTTCAAGTCCAAGGACCATAACTCTGCACAAAATTATTAGACGGAAACAAAAATTGGAACTTGATCTGTAACTTGTCATGATAAAACTATATACCAATTATCAATCAATATCTTATAAGCATGATTAAAAAAACATTAGATATGATTAATAGTTCTCTAAAATTAGATATGATGTAATACAGTGTACATCTATTTTCAAATTATAATCAGATATAATTAATAGTTCCAAATATTTTTTTCTTTCATTTGTCACAAACTAATATAGATTTGTAACTTATCTATAAAATGTCAACAACTTTTATCTACACAATGTAATATATTGAAACATATACATTAATAAAATAGATTATTATTTAATTAAAGGATTTCTCTTCATAATTTTGTTTTGATATATGTAGCATTCAGAAAATTAGTTTATACTAAATAACAAACAAACCTGTCAAAAAATTCTTCAAATAATTTAACAAAGAATGTCTTTTAATAAATGAGTTATCTCCCTTTGTACAAAAATATGGTTTAACATAGTACTCTAACATTAGATATGGTCCTGAGTTATGGTCCATAACTCTGGACTAAATCATCAGACCGGAACAAAATTCGAACTTGATCTATAACTTGTCATGATAAAACTATATACCAAATATCAAATCAATATCTTCAAGAAAGAAGAAAAAAAGTGTGGAAAGCTAATTTGCCAGACTGACGGATGGACAGATGGACAGACGGACAGACTGACAGAGTGCAAACCTAAAGTCCCCTTCGACTTCGTCGGTAGGGGACTAATAACCATGATAACCAAAAACTGCAAAATTTCCTTAAAATTAATAATTCAGGGGCAGCAACCCAACAATGGGTTGTCTGATTCATCTGAAAATTTCAGGGCAGATAGATCTAAAACTGATGAACATTTTTACCCTTGTCAAATTTGATCTAAATGCTTTAGTTTCAGACATGTCAGAGATAAAAGCCAAAAACTGCATTTTACCCCTATGTTTTATTTTTTAGCTATGTCGGCCATGTTGGTTGGCATTTGGGGTCAACAGACACATTTTTTAAATTAGTTACCCTAATGATGATTTTGGCCAAGTTTGGTTAAATTTGGCCCAGTAGTTTCAGTGGAAAAGATTTTTGTAAAAGTTAATGATGACGGATGACGACGGACGCCAAGTGATGAGAAAAGCTCACTTGGCCCTTCAGGCCAGGTGTGCTAAAAAATATGTTTTGATTGACATTATTTTTACTAGATGTTATTTAAGAAATTCTTTATGCAAGCGATAGATTTATTGGAAATTTATAGCTTTATTTTGCAAGAGGTAAAATAGAACAGCCAGGCACATGGAACACTTATCATGCTTATCTTTGCTTTAGTTTTTTCTAAATTGCCGTATTTGTCCTATTAAAATCGACGCTCTGGATAAAAATTGAATGTAACAGGTCAGGCCATGTGAAAATTTCCCAAAAATTATTACTTGCATAATTTATTTCTTAAATATTAAAGTGATAGTTACCCATAACATTTTGGTCTCCAACCTGGAGGTAAGTGTTATGTTCATGTTGATGGTTATGATGGTGGTGGTTTACAACTATAAAAGAAATTACATTTTCATGGAGAGACTTTTGTTTCATCCTAATTTTTATATGTAATAACATTAACAGTAGTAATTTTACTGCCCCAAATATGCATTTAAACAATTAATGTCTCTTCAGTGATGATTGAGACCAAAATATTTGAAAATCAAAAACCTAATACACATTTTGAGATCATAAAAATAAAATTGTGAGAGCAATTTTCATACTCTGATACACTAATAAATGTTTTTTTGACATCAAAGTAACATTATACAAAGTTATAACAGATGTTAAGCATCAATTGAAAGCTCTTTGGTTGGTATTTGCTCAATAATTTCACACGTTTTCATCTGAAGAAATAAAACACATGAATTATAGCACTAAACTCACCTGGAGTTGGGGAAGGGGAACTTGTGCTCCCATATTCTATTTCTGCGGCCCATTCTTGCAAATCTCGTTCTAAAATTTAAAAAAATATATCCATACTGTTTCATATATTTTGGTATCTTAGTTATTTACAATTTTAGGAAAATTAATGATCATATGTATTGAAGTAACATGAAAAATTACGATATAAAAATAAGTAGATGCGGTATACTTGCCAATGAGAGAAATATCCACCAAAGTTCAAATGACGATGATACATGGGAGATATTCTGATTTCTTTTCAATATGCTAGTAGATCAATTCTGTGATGACATACTTTACATACATACATATTTTCACAGCAGGAAGACATGTCACCCTACCTGGACTAATTATTCTGACTCTGGTCCAACCAGTCTTTGCTCTTACTCTTTAATGCTGTGTGCTTAGTGGAGAAACAGCAAATATCAATTTCAAAGTCTTTGGTTTGACCTGGACGGGTTCAAACCCACAACCTCCCACATTTGAAAATAAAAGGTATTTGAGGCAAACACACAACCACATGACCATCGAGATTGTATCTGAAATATTTGAAGAAAATTCACTTACCACTGTACTGAGCTAATGGATCTTTGTTCCATTTAGGGTCTTTGCCATCAGAAGTTGCAACTGTAAGTACCTTTTTCTTTGCCAGGTGATATAACAGTTTGTTGACAGCTTTTCTGGATTGTCCAATGCTACATTTTTGTGCTACATCTTTAGGCTTAAGATTCATATTTGGTTCAACAAATACAGAAATTATTTTCTTTAGGTTTTCTATAATGAAAAATAAACTGCTTTTTCTCATTAATCATGTTAGTTTAAAGGAACATAAGCCATGATTGCTAGCCAATCTGATTGATATACTTATCCTGTGTCCACGCTGCACTTATTACAAGGATCTTACAAAATTCTGGTATTCTTTTTGTTCTAGTTATTATTAAATCAATTGAAATTTCAACTTTTAAATTTTGAAAGTGTGTTTCATTATAACAAAACCAGAGGTCTCTTAAACCATGTAAACAGAAAAGAAAATGGAGCATCACCAAATCTTTGTAAGCAAAGTGTGGACACATGACCTGTATTTTAATCAGATTGATAGCTGGCCTGAATATCTAAGAATGCTACTTTATGTTTTTCCCTTCCTCCATGTCATATTGGTCCTATTAAAAGAAATCAAAATTATTTCAAATTTTTTGAATTTTTAGAATCAAATTTTAAATCAATATAGATTATTGAAACATTGCAATTTTCGTATAGCATATCATCATGATCATGAATGATACACAATCAAACTATAGTTTATTTAGGAAAAAGGGAAAACTACGGTTTCCATCAAGAAATACCAACAATTAGATAAATTAATTGTTGGATTTTCATTATTTTGCTATTGTACATGGTTGTAAAAATGGTAAAACATCAACTACTTGATACACAATATATAGCTCATTTGAACTTCACTGTGTTCAGTCAAGCTTCATACTGTGACAGGTTATATTTGACAGTATTACTATAATTGACTTTGATGGTTCACCTCAGTTGACAATTTTTTCTCAGGGTAACAATCTGCTCTATCACCCTCTTGGTTATGTGTTATTTATATAGTATTAAAATACAGTAAGTCTGATAATCTGTACAAACTTTGCTCAGATATTACTACTGTTGACCTTAATAACAGCAAAAGGACTACCTCATCTCAACTTTAATGCTACTTCTTTTTCTTTACTAAGACCTACCTAGTGTAGGTTTTAATCTTTGATCAATTTCTGTGTGTTGATGACAATTGACAGGTGCTGTCGTTTCTAGATTAATGTGACCAGCAGCTGAAAAAAAATCAACAAATACTGTAAATTTAGAAATTATTGCGTACATTTATTATTGCGATTTTTGAAGAACGGACAAAAATGTGAGATTAATTATTGCAATTTCAGGAAAACCTGCATACAGATATATGTATTAGATATCAGAATGCCAGTTCTTATTATTGAGATACTAACCCAGTCACATAATTCATAAAAACCTCGCAATATTTTATGAATTTACAGTATGAAATTTTGGTCTTGCAAAGCATACCCCCTGCACATAATTCAAAGTATAGGTAAATAGGAAGTAGGAGGCTAACAGATCAGAAAAGCGCAAACAGGTTGTCACAACTCATCATTATCAACAAACTGGTCAAGCTGCTGACAAAACATTGAGTCTGAGAGAAGCATGACAAAACTATTTGTTAGATATAAGGACAGAGAGACTAAATGAAAGTTAGTTACAATTGTCAATTAGCACGGTGAAGTCACTTTACAGCTAAAGCCAAGTTGCGATTTTGACAGGTGACAGGTTTCGACATAAAGAACAAAATTTACAATGCTTGTTATTCTAGGGCTGCAGATAAAATTTTGAGTCAGGTGAAATTTCGAATGACTTACTTTCAAATCAATTGGAGTAAATAAATCTACATTTATGTGTTTCAATTTTGGGATGAAAAAATAAGTTGACTAATGCAGAAATTTTAAAATAGCACATACATTTGTAGTTCAAAACAAAGAAAAAAGTTGACTGTAGTTTATGAAATATTTAATTGTATAAATAAATAAGTCAGAATTAAGTTTTCTTTTCAAAGTTTATCTCCCCTGATACTTTGCCAAAAACTTACTCAAAGTTAAACAAGCCTCGATTATTTTCTAGTTTACTTAAAATTCTTTAATCAAAGTTCAACCTTTCATCTCACTAACTTATAAACATCAAAATCTACAGAGTATAGATGACCATCATGTTATGTAACCATGGTAACTGTGCAAGCCTTCTAAAATTGTTCCTTTGAGGTATACAAACAGTAATGCCTATAGCCTCATTGCTTTTATGTTTTAAAGTGCCAATCTGCCTAAGAATCAGGCAGTGGTGAAAACATGACAAACAAAAACCCACTCAAGTTGACATTAATTTTTGTTCAAAATGTATAATGGTGCATGAATATAACATTCGTTTCCTTGTCCTGTTCTGGTAATTCAAGATATAATTTGGTTGAAATGCACTAGAAATTAAAAATTAAGGGGAGCTAACTCCGTAATTTGCTATCATTCTAACCAAAATTTATCTAGAGATTTCTCGAATTACCAGACACGCAGAAACGAAAGACCTACAATTTCTAACTCAGGGTGATGGTAACTTCAAAATATGATGGTTAGGTCGGTGGGTTTTTTTCGGCCATGTTTTGATTTTTTTCAAAATTGCCTGATTCTTACAAAGACTGGCACTTTAAAAGTTCTGAAATTTAAAGCATTCATAGCTATTTTGTCATAATTTAAAATAAAAGTGACAGTCATTTCATGTCAAAACTATACCTTATCCTGACTTGTGCTGAAAAATTCAACATAGTACCTTTAATTCAAAATAAAAAGATTTGGTATAATTGCCAATGATGTAGAAGTTACAACTAAAGGTTTTTTTATTTTTAATATGTTTGCAGATTAGAGCGCACTGGTTTCCGGAAGTTTGGTAGTACAAAAACATGTACTTCTGATTTGAGCAACAGTGCAAATACGCCCTCCCATTTAAATTTCATGTTTTTTTATTATTCAAAAGAAACTTTCTACAGTAATGCCAACTCCTATAATATCATTTGAAATCAAAATTACAACATATTTTACTAATTGACAAGTTACAGCTATGTGTAGGAACTATTTTGTTTAAAAATGTACTACTTTCTTGTATGTTCTTTCTGGCCAGGCCCCAATTACAGATTCTACACCATGAGACTTGAAAAAAGGCAGTATTTTGATAATAACAGACAAATCAAATGAGATTTTTTCATTGTTCATTCAATTATACTTCATGAATGTTTAAGACTTCTAATTAAGACAGGCAACTAAACACGTTAATAAATCAATGTAGTCCAGAGAAATTCGAGAAAAGAAGAAAATGTAACTTTTTTACCTATAGATCTAAGTAGCAAAAATCTAAATACTGAGGAAGAAAACTATATCTCCAGATTATTACCTATACCAGTACGTGAATATAACCAAGTACTGTATAACATATAAGTATTTCCCCCTACTGGCTATCAAAGACTTACAAATGGTTTGTGTATTTGGACCAGTCTGGACTTGTGAAACATATCTCTGCTGAACCCTGGATGACCGATCGTCTCCCTCCATTACTGTTTGTGTCATCATACAACCACGACTTGAACCACCTGTTGCACCAGACGCTGGGATGTCTGAAAAACTGTCCAAGGATGAATCAGGTGAAGATATCAAATCTGAATTATTCATAGATCTGTTTGGTGTAGAAGACGTTAAACTTGGTGCCAAACTTGATTCTAGAGAGTGTTCTCCACTTGCTGGCGGTGTTGTCTTAGGGCTGGTCTGTTCAGAATTGGATCTTATTGGTTCAAGAGAATGCTGTCCATTGGCTAAGGATGCTGCCTTTATGTTGGTGTCTTTAGTGGGTCTTTTTGAAATGGTCCTTTTGGCAGGTGGAGGTAGACCTGAAAATCAAGTACAGTCAGCTAGGCATAGTAAAAATTTTAAATTTTTTATCCTGTTTCTTCTTAAGATTACAGTAGTTTTTGTTATGTTTTTATTAAATAAATATAAGTAAATGTGACAGTGCTTTTCCCTATTAAATGAATCTCATTTATAAAAATATTCCCAGTTTCTGACATTTAAAACCAGGTTTAATCCACCATTTTCTACATTAGAAAATGTCTGTACCAAGTCAGGAATATGACAGTTGTTATCCATTCGTTTAATGTGTTTGAGAATTTGAGTTTGCTGTTTTGATTAGAAACTTTCCGTTTTGAATTTTCCTCAGAGTTCAGTATTTTTGTTATTTTACTTTTTAAATCAAGTCTGATATTTCTGTATAACTGCATAAGTTGAAACAGGCAAAAAAAAAAGCACTTATAGTACTGGTATATATAATGTTATATTATTTCAGGCAAATGTGTCATACATCCCTGTATTTGGTTGACATACTAATGTAAAAGTAAATGAATGGATTTATAAGAGGTACATTGTATTTGCCACTTTTCCATTATAGATATAATGTTAAACAAGAAGATCTCATTTTATGTGTTGCTTCTCTCAATCTTTTTCTTAAAAATTAAATCAATCAATTTGGCAGTCTACCATTTAGGTAGAATGCAAACTAAAGTCTATCCTCCCTAATGATTATTCATTTTGGTTAGCTTTGGTAATAATTTGGAAAACAAAATTATTTATGGATGTAATTTCTGTCATTATCTATGTAACCATTGGCTTCAGATTTTATGCCTACTATTTCCATGTGACTGCTGGTAACTAGAGGCCCATAACAATCTTAAGTCTATAAAAATAAACTGCTTCGCTGAGCGCAGCTGGATACGCCCGCAGAGGTCCAACCCTGAACAGTTGGGGCAAAAATGGACACAATATTCAAGCTTGATACAGGTCTGAATTTGGATTGTAATTAAATATTTGACATATTATAGGTTTCTGAATAAATGTAGTCAAAGAACTTGAAATTGGTTATATGAATTGAATTCATATTCAATTAAAGATTTCTTGCTGTTGTGCAATACACTGTGCAGTTGCGCAATACTTAGTACATCTGTTGTCAGACTATAGAAAACAATAACTTCTCAATGTTATATCAGAAATTTATAAAAAAACTAAATGGAGGTTATCTTAATAGATATAAATCAGTCATCAAAGTTTAATGAAAACCACTCTAAGCACTTTAAGGATATTGTCCAAAAACTTGAAAATCAACCCTTTTTTATGAATAAAATCTTATAACTCGGAAACGTAAAATCTAAAATTGATAAAAATCAAAAGGGAGCTTACAACAATAGATATAAACAATTTACCAAAGTTTCATAAAAAATGCTGAAAGCATTTTTGAGTTATTGTCCGAAAACTGGAAAATCCCCCTTTTTGTAATGAATAAAACCCCATAAATCAGAAACGTATAGTCTAAAATTTAAAAAAAATCAAAAGGGAGCTCATGCCGATAGAAATAAACAATTCACCAAAGTTTCTTGCAAATTGGTGAAAATGTTTTTGAGTTATTGTCCAAAAACTGGAAAATCCCCCCTATTTTAATGAATAAAACCCCATAACTCGGAAATGTAAAATCTAAAATTTATAAAATTCTAAAGGGAGCTTACATCAATACTGAATAGATATACATGTAAACAATTCACCAAAGTTTCATAAAAAATGCTGAAAGCATTTTTGAGTTATTGTCTGAAAACTGGAAACCCCCCTTTTTGTGCGAAAACCAATGTGTCTTTGGACGACGACGACGACACCAACGTCATACCAATATATGACCGCAAAATTTTTGCGGTCGTATAAAAATTCATTGTACTGGAACAAAATGCTAACTTGATCTATAACTTGTCCCCAGCATACTAGAGCTAGAGAGACACATGTGTAAAATCACCTTAAATCTGAAGGTAAAAGTCCCTTTACTCTGGAATAAAAAAACTTAACATTTTCAGAAACAATCTGTTGTGATTGAATTATTCAACTACACAAACAGATAAGTGTATGACTCAAACACAATTCATGACAGGAGGAGACAACTCTGTCAGAATTTCCACAATAACAGTATAGCTGTTATTTTCTGCAATAACTTAACTGTTTTAGTTATACCCTTGACTTATAAAAGTGTAAAACAAAGGATATTCAACCAATGACGTGATATTATTTTCATTTTGGAGTTCAAACAAAGAAATTGCACATAGTCCTTCCATTCTAACTGCACAAAATCAAATATGTGGCACTACTTACCATACATGTACAGTAAATAATTACATCAATTATAACTAATAGTATGTAATATTTACTTTCTATGCCTAAAGATGACTTTGGAACTGTATACTCATTGGTACTGCTTTCTAAACTTGTGCTTTCAATTCCTGCACATAAATCTACAATAAAAAAATCTTGACATATTTATAACTACATAATATAACTTCAAATATTCTGATTATCAGTAGCAATTTAAAAAAAATCATGACTCTCAAATTGATATTTACTAGTCGTGCATGGCATGCAGCATATTGACTGGTACTCTATGCTAAGAAGGTATAAAGATACCAGGTTTTATTGCTGGAGGAAGCCAGAGTGCCTGGAGAGAACATCCAACCTTCAGCAAAGAAAACTGACAATCCTAGTTAAGATTGGAGTCCAACACACCTGCCACATGCAAGTTTTAAACTCATAACCTCAGTGTTGACAGGCTGGTTATACAGTAGATAAACTACTTAGACCAACCAACTGCCAAGGCCTCTTTAAGGATGTTCGCTACTCTGTTTCAAAATAACAAGCTTTTTAAAAAACTGTTATAAATTGATAGTATATTTAAGAAATAATTCATGGGGGCTTGAATATACATGTTGTGTATCGTGAATTTACCACGGGTTGGCACTTTATGCTAAATATTTTACCCTGAGCGATAGCGAGGGGTAAAATATCAGCATAAGGGAACAACCCGGGGTAAAATCACGATATATTCAAGCCCCCATGAATTATTTCGATTCTAATAGGACAAATACGGCAATTCTTTTGGATCGAAGTGCTCTAGGTGAAGGCAAATATTTGCCGTTCCCATAAACAAACGCACTATTCAATTGACATAAAAGAACAGAGCAAACTGAATTAGTGACATGCTTAAACTATTTACAATAATGTATTTAAATAGGTTTGGATGAATTTAAATAAGAATTTTATTTATATATCTAATATGTATAAAAAAAAAATTGGATTATAACACATTTTAGCATCGTTTGTTTACGTTTCCTTGTTGTTATAATTTTCGGTTTCACAAGCGTGTATTCTCCCGTAAAATCCTCATATTTTTACGTCATCGTTGTATGACGTCGGGTAGCTCATTCATAAAAAAGCATGTGACGTGGGAGTACGATCGGAAGAGCCCAAACAATATATTCATATTTTAACACGGGTGTGTACCCAAAACGTATGAAGAACGTCATGTTAGGATTATAAATAAAGGAACTAAAAAAGCAGAAAAAATGAAGAGTTTGTGTGCTTGTTTTCGAGATATTAGCCATTGAAAATTTAGTGGGAAATAATTCTCTCTAGATTTTTCATACTTTTAACATTGTCCGCTTTTCTCTTTAAAAAACTATGAAAAAATAACAAGGATTATATAATAATTTCAAATATTGCTTTTAAAACTATATGTAATAAAATAATGAAAAGAAAAGTAGGGGTTAGTGGACAAAATTTTGTAATGGCAAAACATGGATAAAACCAGAGGATTCCAAAAATCTGGCAAAATTCAAACACAAGAGGAGCGAACATCCTTAACAAATGATGATGTTTTGTTTGCAAATCATATACAACATCATTCCTTATGTCATGTCTATATTCTTTATTATAATCTTTATTATCAAATTACCATTTAAGAATGATCCTGAAGGAACTGTATCCTCTGAAAAGTCTCCACTATGTATCTCTGAATCTAACTGCCATACATTTTCTCCAGCACCAGTCTTACATATAGACCCATTTTTCTCCATCAACACCAGACATTGTCTAACTTCTACTGCCAAAACATCCTGTTGTACTAATCTAGTAAGAAGGGAAGTTTCTTGTAGTGGTCCTTCTATCAATTCACTGTATATTAGTCCACAATAGTAATCTACAGTTGTGAAAATATGAATTGAATTACAGAATAATAAGTATGATAAGCATGATTAATAATTAAATAAATGTGGATAGTGTCCACATGTGGACACAGATGATGCCCCCGCTTGCATATCATATAGTTATAAAGGGACATAACTGAAGAACGGTAAAAGTGACACTACCCAAATTTGAACTTGATCTGAGTTTTGTGGTAATAAGCATTGTGTGTAAGTCTCATAACATTTGGTTGAGGCTAACTTAAGTAGAGAACAGAAACTAAAAATTCAGCAATTTTTCTATTTGTAATGACGCATAACTCTAGAACGGTTGTGTATAAGTTTTACAACATTTGGTTGAGACAAACTAAAAAATTCAGCAATTTTTATGTTTATAATGGGACATAACTCTAGAATGGTAAAAGTGTTGCCACCTAATTTCGTACTTAATCTGTATTATGTAGTAATTAGCATTGTGTATAAGTTTCAAAACATTTGGTTGAGGCAAACTCAAGTTAGAGAACTGAAACAAAAAAAATGTACTTGATCTTTACTGAGTTTTGTTGGAATGAATATTGTGTATAGGTTTCACAATGTTTGGCTGGGGAAAACTTCAGTTACCC